CACAGTCATATCCTCAATATTTTTAGATCGTTTACTTCAGCTTGTTTTATTCTCAAAACTTACGAGAATAATAAATGACAAAAATGATATTGTTTGCACATTCTCAATACATATCAATAAATTTCTCTGATTAAAAAAAAGTCATTAATTAATTAACTAGATTTTCAGTTGATTTTAAGATACAAACTTGAATGAAACAACGGATGATATTATTTGCAAATTTTGATTATGAAACGTTCCAACTAGAGAAAAATATCAATAAGCAATTAGATTTTGTTCAATTTTCATTCTTTTTCAATAGTAAAAATACCGTCTTGGGGATGTGGGTGTATTCTTCTCATTTATTACTCACATCCACATTCATACCTTCAATCAAGAAGACCGATTGTCCCTTCCAAGGTACATACTGTATCTTCATGAAAAACAAGAGATAACTTTTTTCCTCTATAATACAATCATATTAAGGATTCAAAAGCTCCGTTTTAGAGCTCAGTTTCATCTCATGTTGGAAAAACATACCCTCAATTTCTAAGGTTTAAACCACATAATGAAATCTATTCAACATAGTTTCTCTTTATATATGAATCGTGAATAAAACATATATTTCAAAACATTGGTCGAACTATTTATTTAGTATAAGAATAAATGAAAAAATATATTCTAAATAAGCATTAATATATTAGTATCCATTCACCTTTGTTATTGTCTATATAAACGCATTTTTCTAATTACACCAAGAAATTCTTTTTTGTATGTTGTTGATGGTAAAATAAATACTGGAATGATAAGTAATGGTGGAACAAATGAAATATAATAACCAACAAGAAATAACCATGGGTTTTGTGCTGATTTCATACATCGAGATGTAAATAATATTATTAAACGAGGTAAAGCTAATAAAATCAAAATACATGGTGAAATAAGAAGATGTTTATGTTGTTTAATCTGAGCAGAAATCGTTACATTTGATGTTTTTTGATTAACTTTCGCACGTGATCTAAATACTTGAATAATAATAACTAAAGCAGATAAAATATTAATAATAAATGGTGCTAAAAAATGAAATAGATTAATAAATTTATCAAAGATAGTTAAACTTGTTGAATATTTCACAATACACCATGTTCTGTTTTCATCTTCATCATCAAATAATTGTCGAGATATTGGATCATGAATATAAGAAATAGTTATTAAAGATAATACTATTGGTATTATCTTTTTGGCTATATTTTTACTTTTTGCTTTACTAAAATGTGGACCTTGTAAAGTAGCAAATGCTCTTTCAATAGCAGTACATGCATTTAACCAATCACCAAAACAGAGAAAGATTTTTAATAATACATCAGTTGATTTACAATTAAAATCAATAAATGAACGATTTGTTATAAGATTCATTTGAAAAGTAACAAGTTGACAATATTTAATTGTAAATAAAGTAATTGTTAATAATGAAGTAATTGAATTCATTAATAAATATATTCCACAACCAACTTCAATTAAAGGTTTTTGCCGAAAAGTTAATATACATATTAATCCATTAAGACAACCAAGTATAAACATTATAATAGTTAATGATGCAGTTATTTTCACTGCTGTTGATTGTTTTAAAAATGAAGCCCATGGTTTAATATGATATCCAAATATAACATCAAGTGATATACTATAACCTTTGGTTGTCAATTGACATCGATCTCCATAGTAACATTCTTCACATTTACATACTGTCATTGTTGGACATTTGGGTTTATCCTGAATACATTTTCCATCATTTTCACAATAATTATCTCCATGACAGTCGTAAAAAATCGTATAATTAAATTTAAAACAATTTGAAAATCGACTTTTGTCACAAATACACATATGTTTTTCATCATAAAAACATTTGAATGTTGGATTTTCTCTACATTGTAATGGATAATATTTCAATCGACGTGTATAACTATAATTAAGTAATGTTGAATTGAGAATTTTAGTAATATTTACACATATATTATTCATTGTAACATCAGCAGAAATATATTCACCTGGAAAAAATTTTTCTCTTAATATGGTAAGATAATAATTATTTGAAAATTCAATAAATAATAAATTAAATGATTCTTTATTAAATAATGAAATTGAATTTTGACCAAATGGAATTTTTTCAAGAGTTGATATTTGTTTATGTTGACGATAATCAAATGCAGTTATAAAATGACCAGAGATTACCGGTGGTATAGAATCTATTTTAAAATTAATATCAATTTTATTTAGTGGATTATCGAGATCAGATCCTAAATAGTTTTCTTTATATAAACAGATAGCACCATTTTTTTTTATTCGATCATTCATCGGTATACATTTACCATTGTTTTGACATGGATTATTATTAGATCGACAAGATGTATGTTGTAAATAACATTTTGAACCGAATTTATATAATGGGCATAAGGGGCTGTTCGTATATCACGTGATCAGGTAAGGAGTAGGTAGGGGTGAGGTGGAGTGGGTGTGGTTGTGACCGTCGATATTCCCTGCATCTAACACCCACACCCGCCCATAATCACGCACACCTGCCCATACTCACCCACATCCACCCACACTCACACCCACGCCCACCCACACCCTCAAGAAAAAATTGGTCACATGATTTCCCAACAGCTTTTAAACAAATTGATGAACTTAGAGCAATTGAATCAGATGAACATGAATGTTCATATGTTATATTACAAAATCGACCTGAATAACCTTGATCACAATGACAAAATGTTCTATTTGAATTAATATATTTAAAACATTTGCCATGATTTCCACATTCAGAGGAACAATTTGTTAATTCTTCTTCAGATTTTTCTAATGGAATTTGAATTTGTGTTGATATACGATTAACTGGTAAAAATGGAAATGGAATAAATAAATACCAACTCCCAAAATAAGTTAATGCTGTTTTTTCATAAATATCGATATGAATTGAATATGTATGATTAGGATTTTTTGGTTGATCTGGATAAAGTAAATAACGATTAAATTTTATATCACAATCTCTTGATGAAATAAAATCTATTTTTTCATAATAATGTATGATTTGATTTTCATCATCAATTAAATTGATAAAAATATCAAAAACAGAAATTCGTTTTCCATATGATTTTAATGTATGTATTTTAAGTGTTAAACTAATGCGTTGATTTTGCCATTGACATCGATCACCAAAATAATTAGGTGGACATAAACATTTCTTTTTAAATAATTTTCCTTCAAATATAATAATTCCACGATTACAATATTCAATTAATTCAATATTCGTATTTGGAATTAATAAAGTTTCATTTGGTTTCGTATCAATAAGCTGTTGATTTGAATTTATTTCTGATGGTAAGTTTCCAATATTCCATGTAGAAAAGACAAAAAACTTACGTACTTCAAAGGTGACACTTATTAAATAGCACAATTTTTCACTGTCATATAAATCTGAAAAGGATGAAATGCATGCAGGAGTATTTGAATATTCTCGAAGAGAACAGAAACTTTTTTCATCACTGATTGATTGAGAACCGCAAATGTCATCTTTAGTTAAACAACTTTTATTTTTCCATGATATATATTCATTATTAATATTAATAGTTGAACTATTTGAATAAAATATATTTCGACAAAGATCACTTATGTTATTGTTAATACAATCAAGTGGCATTTCATAGATGTATTCTTGAGGAATACAATAATAATTCACAGGACCATCATAACACTGATATTCATTAATTTTACACTTGGTATTAGGACAATTGAATTCATCGATTCCATTAGCACAATGAAAGCCCCTGTCGCATCGAGTATACGGATTATTACAAGGCCACCATTCACAATTAGTGTCATATTTCTCATTGTCTTCTAGTTGTAAACCTCGAGGGGATTGAGAACAAAGAATTGAAAATACAGATACTTCTTGATTGTGAATCTTATCTTCTCTATCTTTGCAGCCAGGTACATAAAGATCGAAACCTATCGGTGATAAACATTTATCTTCTGACGTACAATTAAAACGTTGAATATCATTTAATAAACAACTATCTTTATAATTTTCATCTTCTCTATGATAACAATCTCTAAATCCATCGATAAGACGGTGTTTCGATATA